TATTGTAACTTTCGTTCATGATTATCTTAACGTTGACGAAATCATGACAAGTGTAAACGAGGCTTAAAATGATCTTAATGTAAATCGTAACGTAACAACGTTCAAAACCAAATATTTACGCCTTATTACGCATTTTTAAAAATTCGTATCTTTTATTATCCAAATTGGTTCAAAGTTTTAGGAATGAAAGTTATATTATTTTATAGCAAATATTTAGGTAGATATAAATTTTCTACCGAACGCAACTAAAAAATTTGAGGTCCCAAAATGGGCATTGTTCTTTTTTATCGTTACGTTTCGGAAGCCGTTGACTTGCTATGACGAACGATGACAGCTTTTAAAATTTCCCCTATGGTATAAGAAAGTAACAGCCCTTATGTACAAAAGTCAAAAGTCTTTTTATCATTATGAACGCGGTACATTCAAGAGCCCCTCAAGCTTAATACTTTGAACTTGGACCTTTCTTATCATAACGGTATAAGGGTTAATTTTTTTTATATACAAAATATAAGTGCGGATTGGACCTCCATCTCACCTGATGGAAAGTGACGATGAGGTCGACAATGTAGCATGCATACCTAAATAATGCCTGTACGTGTAAAACAGGTATTAGTGTTAACGCACTTCCCTCGCTTCCTGGCGTTGCTCGAGGAAGAAATCTTCAGCATCAACTCGCCAATATGGGACCCGGATTACAAACAAGTACCACCCAATCACCTGCAGGCTATTTTGGATAATAAAACAAGTGAGTATGTCTTGTGTGTTTCTAATTACATCTGGGAAATAAACAAAACTTGCACTTTTTTATGTTGGTTCTTTCTTGGTAAAAACAGTCCGACCACGAACAATTAGAAACAAACGTAACGGCGGTGATTTTGTTTAAGTGTTCAAAAGTGCAGCGTTAATTTAAAAAAAAAAATATTTTTTCCGTTTAAGGTTTTTAAGGTTTAAGGTGATTAAATTTGTTGCTTGAGACATGGGTTGCGGAATTCTATGTCTCGATAGTTATTTGTAATTAAACTGGAATTGGGATTTGAACTACGATCCTAGAGAGAACAAACAAAAAAATTTAAGTTTACTTTTTTTTTATATTCATTCATTCATATTATGGCCAGTCAAAAGCAAATATATCAAGTGCGACCCCAAATACGCTCTTACCTTTCACTATCTAATTCGTTTCATTGGTAATTCAATAACTTCACTTTACATTCATTGAACGAAAGTGTTACTTAATTGCACGTGAATAATTTACTTCTTGATTTCTGTTAACATTTTTAGAATATTTAAAGTAGAATTATAGATATTTCAATTTGCGCTTAGACTAGACAAAAATGTGTTGGAAATTACAGGACAATTTACTTAAAATAAAAAAAAATACTGCGTTTTCATTGCCTAATAATAAAATAATCTACAACTGTGTACTATGTGGAGTATAGAGTGGTGGCGTTTTTATTATGCTGTCGATAAAGCAGTATATATAATAGCTTAACTGTGCAGCAAGCACCACAGCTTGCTCAATATAAACATTGCCGAATGGAGTATAAAGTGGTGACATACTTATTGTGATGTAGGTGTAGCACTAAGGGTTGCACTATTAAAGTGCAGTGAACGAGCCTATTATCTTGGTATAAACATTGTGGGTAGGGTATAGAAATGCGACATATTATAAGTAATAGATATAACGGTACCCCTACCATAACTTTTAAGCGCTAGTTTTCACTGGCGATTGCGTAGAATATGTTTCCTTTTATATTAAATATTTAGTTATACCACTGGAGGCTGTGCATTTTAAAAATAAAATATAACTGCGCATTTGACCTCCTTCTCACCTGAGAGAAAGTGACGATGAGATCCATAGTGGAGCACGCACACCTAAATAGTGCCTTGAATAGGCCTAAGGTAAAATGCAAGAAAGTCCACTCCATAGCCGTTCTTCTTTTTGCGACATCTGTTTTGGTAAACTCGTGATAGACATACACAGGGTAGTACTGTTGTGACGTGTTTACATAGGATCGACTGCGGCCCCTCGGCTATTCGGCTTACGAGAGTGGCGCAATCAACGCGCTGTTTACATGGAGTCGACTGCCGAAATCATCAAACACGACCGCCACAAATAATTCCAAACGTTCAACAAAGAAGCTTGTTTGGTCAACCGAAATCGAATCGTTGCCTTACAGTGATTATGGATCGTATTCCAGAACTCTACTCGATGCTCAAGTCTGGACTTGAGCAGACTTGAGTATGATTTCAAGCACTGGAAATACGACCCTAATGGCAAGGACTTGAGTATGATTTTCAGTGCTCACTGCAATACTCAAGTCCTGACTTGAGTATTGAGTAGAGTTCTGGAATACGACTCTAACACTCCTACAAATACATTTTACTCCATCTTCAAAAAATACAGACTATAAGCACTGCGACCATTAGACGTACTGTAGGTTTGAATTACTTTGGAAAACAATCTTCTTTTACTTTTTATACAATATATGTAAGGTATACATATGGATATAGATATACATGTAAAATATATTATATAGGCAATCAAAATATATAAGATAATTTTTTTTTATGCCTGCTTTAAACTATAAAAATGTAAATAAGATCAGCATTACTTATTGGTTTGTAATTTTTATATCCAAATGTGGAGGTTTGTAATAACCTTTTTTATATTATATTTTTTTATTAGTTTTATGCGCCATTTTTAACTTATAGCTGTAAACCTTCCTAAAATTAATAAAATAAAAATAAATAAAATAGTCGACGAGGACGACTTCGGCCGAAGGCGAGCCGTCGACCTAGTGTAAATTGCGCCATTATAATGCAGCAAGCGATACTACTTTATCGGTATACTCTTTGTGGTGGAGTTATGGTATGGTGACGTAGAACAAGTAGTACGTATGACAGGGTAGTACCGTTACTGTGCAGCAAGCGGCACTACTGGGTCGAGCCGGCGCGGCGAGTTTGAACGCGTGGCACCTCCCGCCGCCGCCGACTCTAAAGATGGATTCACCACTGTCACGCTCTCTGCAGGTGAACCACGCCTTATAATAATTTATTTTTTTAATGTCACGGATTTACCCTAAGTTTTATTTTTAAGTGAACCTAATGATGCTGCTATTGATCAAATAATTAACTGATTTTTTTGTGAATTGTCGTCCATATTAAGGCTCAATATCAATTGCCGTGGAATGGAATAGAAGCTAATTTTGTAGCCATAGCATAATGAACTTTATTTCAATTGTGTAACGTACGTCTACAAACAAGATATGAGCCGAAAAACAGCCGCACGACTTCAGGAAAATTACAGAAGCTCGTCGTTAATACAGTTATCTATCATCAATAACATAAACAAAATTTCCAAAATGGTAATATTATTTTTATACTCTTAAAGCGCTCAGAATATACTATTTGCACACATTTGAAACAACACCTTAGGGCGTTGAATTTAAGGTGAATTTAAAATTGAGACTTATCTTAAAGCAGAAGAATACAGAAACAAAGCAACCAAGATGCGTCATTTTGTGTGAGCGAGACTAAACTTAATTTCAACAGTCCTGAAAATTATGTAATAAGGCAGGTGCACATGTGCGACATCGTGTAAGATTTCCACACCTTCATTGTCATCCCAATCGTAAACATTCAACATCTACCGTTCATTTTCGACCCATTGTAACGTTTATTCGATATTTAACAAATACCTCTTTTCAAGTTCAATTCAGTTCTAGAAAATACGTATTTAATGTCAGTCGCGACTTAAGTGTGCTTAATTTTATTCAAGTGTTAGTAACTTTATAGATGTGAACAAATATCTATTTACAAAGAGCACCTAGAGTACTCATTGTTCTCAGGTTACTGTCTTACGAATGTGTAGCAGTATCTAATATATTTAACGAGTTCAATTGTAATTTTGTGCTCTCTCTATCAATAAAATAAAATATAATTTATTTGCTTTGAATATATGTAATATGTAATACGTCATGAATGTTGTTGGTAAAATTAAATTGGAGAACTTAATCCTATTTAGTCTTTATTAAGAACATGCAAATATGCAATATATGAAAAAATGTTATGAACTAAATTAAGATATAATTTAAAGATATTCATATATGCATCGAATTTGATCAATCAAGTAAAATAAATGTTCTAAAAGCCGTGTGCGTAGTTTCTTTTTAAATCTGGCCAAAGAAAGGGATTTAAATTATCTGGAATCTTGATTATCCATCAAGATTATCGATTATTTGATTCATAATTATAAATAAAAGTTTCAATTAATATGTTACATAAAATTTGAACCTTATGAAAATGCATTTAACAGTGTTGGCCACTTTAATAATAACATTTTACATTTTTTTAGTTTGTTTAATGTTAGGATGTTTGACCAACGTGATAATGAATTATTTTTGTGAAATTACTCCACTAGTTTGTTATAATTATTAATACAAAGATCTAACACATCGGCTGGATTCGAACCAACATTTTCAAGTTCCACTTACTGAACGTGGCGAATCTATTCCATATAAATTTGTCAGAATTAGTATGGAAACCGCACGCCGCGTTCGATGTATAGACCATGTTACTATATTCCTCGAAGTGACAGGTACCACCTGGTTTTTGCTTAATTAATAAAAAAGAACTTAGTTCTTTCAATAAATAAAATTAATAAGAAACTTAGGTTGCAAACAACACCTCTATCACGTTATATATATTGAACAAAACGATGAAACAGGTTCCATCAAACAAGAAGGTCTGAAACGCGGGGCAGAGTCCCGCTCTGGGGAACAGCCGACCGGCAGCGCGAAGAGACGACGCATCGTCGACGAAGGCGGGGAAGACGTCAGCGAGAGAACAGTCGCTGAAATTGTCGCTACGATAAACGACCCAAATTACATGTGTGGACCTGATGTAAGTACTGTTTGACACATGCAAAGATTTGTGTATGTTTCTTCATTTTACAAACATTGAAACTTGCTGTTAAAAACCATTTTTTTTGGAAAGTTGTAGTGAAGACAATGAAAATGTGATAATATATCCATTCTTACATTGTCATAAATATAAATTAATATAAAGCCTACTTTTTAACCGACTTCAAAAAAAGGTTCTCAATTCGACTTTAATGTTCTTCTGTTTCTTTTTTGTATGTAACCGTTCGGCCACGGAGGCAGTCAATAATATAATACATTTTTAATGGTACTTATGTCTGCCAATAAACGGTCGACTTCATGGTAAATGGTGTATCGAAGTCTACATTAATTTATGTAATTCTTCCGTATTATTAATATCTTAAATCTTCAACTTGGAACACGGCGGTGCAGCTTTACGGAAGAAAAAGGTAGAACATTGTTAAATGCGTAGATGAGCAAGGCAGACAAGAAACTCTACGAATACCACTAAGTATAGCTTCCAGGTATATAAGTAGAAATTTCTTTTAGGCACTATTCCAAACACAAGCGCCGCGTGATGAAGCAGCAAAGCTGGAAGAACAACGTAAACTCATAGAATTCCATGTAATCGGAAATTCATTGACCGGCCCCGTCAATAAACAGACTATGCTCTGGCTTATTGGTAAGTACTTCCAGTAATTCTTAAACCTATACTGCCCTCGGAGCTAAAAAAAGACATAATTATTTGGAATCAAGCAAATTGGCCAATCTGCCTAATTTTTTGTACACATATGTATCAATAATTTTTGGGTATACAGTGAGTTGATGAAATTACAGGCACATGGGACTTGTCAATTTATGTCTCACGATGACGGGCGCAGTGGCAACGCCCTTCAATTCTTTGCGATTTAAAGCTCTGAGTAGCAATGCAACTGAGTGGTAGGCGTGTAACTTACCACGTCACTTGGGTACAAGCACAACTGACATCACTAATTATTAGATTTTCTACCATGAAGACACACATTTGACGTTTAATATGTTAAATACACTCCCGGACACGTAAGTCGAGTCACCTTGCAATTTCAGTATTAAATTGACCAAATTAAACAATATCTGATTGATCAAAATCGATTAAGCTAGTTTGAAATTGGTACACTAATCATTTCCAATAAGTCTTTGTTGAAAATTTGAACTTATAAACCAGAGGGAAAACTGTTTTCTTCAGTGATAACAATATGTTATGTAGTGTTCTGCCCTAGAAGATTAAAAACGCAAGGTGGTTCGATTTAAGAATCTGAGAGTATATCAAAGGATTTTACTTAGTGATGTTCCATACACTGTGCCCTTATCACGTACTTCAATTACTATAATTACTACATAAATAACACGAAAAACGCTTTGAAAAATGATTATAATTATTATATCTTTTAATTCAGTTATTAAAAGTCACATATAAAAAAGTCACATTTAAGTTAGTATTGCCGTTTATATAAAATAATAATATTTTATGTCATTTTTAAAAGAAATGAAATGATATCAAAAGTATCTTTTCTGTTTTGTCTCGAGTGTGGGTGTTTCTGGATCGTTGTTTCCGATTCCCATAACACAAGTGCTTAAGTTACTGTGGTATCAGAGTAACGTATGTGATGTTGTCTAATATTTGTTTATTTATTATAATAATAGTTATTTTGGAGTTGATGTGAATAACTAAATACATTTCAGGTCTGCACAATGTTTTCTCGCATCAGTTACCAGAAATGACGAAGGAGTACATTTCCCAGCTTGTTTTTGACCCGTAAGTACACGATATAAAAAAATTGTGACTGAATGAGGTGGTGGTGGTGGCTGAATGAGGTGGTCCCGGGTTCGATTCCCGGTAGTACCATTTTGGGAAATGAACTTGTCTGAATTGGTTCTGATCTGGGTGTTCTGGTAAGTGCCTCAGAGTAAATTCCGTGATTCTGGTAGTCACTCACTTCGTATCATTTAAAGTAATATTTAAAAAATAAATTAAATGTGGGTTTGCACCAATACAGAACCCTTGCATGTTTTTCCTGAAAAACGAGGTATTAACTCTTGAAGAAGACGATAAGTAGATAATAGACGTTAAAATGTTTTAAGACATTAAATCTGACATATTTTTACAGGAAACATAAAACTTTAGCCCTAATCAAACAAGGCAGGCCGATTGGGGGTATCTGCTTCAGGACATTCCATTCACAGGTAAAATAATACATCTTATTATAGATACTAATAAAACGACGTACCCTTTTCACGTTCAATGCCTTGATTAGCTGGTATTAACACCGTACACACAGAATCAGATTATTTTTTCCAGAATAAACGAATGAATGAATGAGTGAAATTTGTAATTACAGCAATTGATCACTTCAACGTCTGTTATTGCGGCTTTTGGGCCGTTCTTGACGTTGATAGCATGAGTTGAGTTTAAATCTGAAGTGCAAAGCCCAGGAAGTTGACTCTACAAAGGGCAACTTTATTGCGAATAAGCAATTTCCCGCTAATATTTCTATAAAACGCGGGAAAACTAAACACTGTTGTTTAACCATTTAATGTCACTTAATATTGTTGGTCAGTATAATGGCAGCATCAGCCTGTTAGGATGCAGATTCGGTAACTTCATAACATAATCCAATTGGCCAGATCGAAAAATATTATTTTTTTCACCCTGTATTAAGATAGTAAAATAAGACAAATCAATCCTGCGTAAAGTATTGCACGTTGAAATCTCAGTTTTATTCGGCAAAGCTCGTTACTCACATAGAGTATTATAAAATCCTAGGTGTCGGTTAGATGAACAACCACAATTTATTTTATAATTTTATACTAACGCAATTGTAGGTCAACAAGCAGGTAAACTAAGTGAGGATGGGCGGGTCAGGTGACAGTATAAAGTTATAAAATATTGCTCATCTAACTGATGTCTAGGATTTTATAATGCTCTATATGAGTAACGAGCATTGCCAAATAAAACTGAGAAATGCTAAAGTCACTTGATATGCTTATGTAAGTGAATTCATGACTTTAAAAAGCCCGTAAAATGTTTAATGTGTAAAATGTTTTTTAACGGCCTCTGTGGTCGAGTGGGTTGCACACCGGTTTTCATTGTGTCACCATCTCTGAGGTCCCGCATCCGATACCCGTCCGGGTCATTGTTGAAACTAACTTTTCTATATTGTCTCGAATCTGGGTGTTTGTGGTACCGTCGTTATTTCCGATTTCCATAACACAAGTGTTTTAGCTGCTTACTTTGGGATCAGAGCAACGTATGTGATGTTGTCTAATATTTATTTTAAAAAACAGATGTCACATAAATCGACGCTTACGCAACACCGAAATAATTAGCTGCATAATTTTCACTAAATGTTCCATGTTTTCCGCCGTCAGGGCTTCAGCGAGATAGTATTTTGCGCGGTCACATCCAACGAGCAAGTAAAAGGCTACGGCACGCACCTCATGAATCACCTCAAGGATTACCACATCAGGAATAACATTTTGCACTTCCTCACCTTTGCTGACGAGTTTGCCATCGGTTAGTTTCAGGCAATTTGCCCCATATTTGTTAATTACAATAAGTGCAATGAAAGTGGTAAAACAAATTTTGATAAAAGACAGTAATACAAGTTTAATTTAAAAAATGATTATTAATAATAAAAATAACAATTTAAAAATTAAATACCTGTTAAAAAGAAATTTGAATGTACATTATATATTATACCGAGTTATTTGTATTGTAAAATACTTACAATCTCGCAGGACTAGTATTACTAATTTAGTAGCAGTAGAACTCCTTATGAAAGTGTTCGTCCAGGGAAGTACTGCCACCTTATCTATTTCTGCCGCCAAGCAGAAACGTGAGGGTTACTGTGTTCCAGTTTTGAAGGGTAAGGGTGCTGGTGAAATTACAGGCACATGGGATTTGTCAGGGTGACGGGCGCAGTGGCAGCGCCCCTCAGATCTTTAGATCTTTGCGATTTAAAACTCTGAGTGGCACTGCAACTGTTATGGACAGGCGTGTAGCTTACCATCAGGCGCACGACTTGTTCGTCCCGTCTTTACTTGGTATTATATAAAAAAAAACTAACCAACGTTTCTTCCATGACATTTTACAAAACAAAAAATACCAAAATCAAACTTTTAAGTTTTTGTTGTACTATTTGACAATATGTATTTTGAAGTAAGGTAGTACGTTCAAACGTGCAAGTGTCCTCGTCGACAACCCCTCCCTCGTTCCTGCGTTTTGCATCGGCCGGACTGGTATTTACGCTAGTGATTTCTTTTGTCACTATACATAGTTATTACCGTTTACAATAGTCTATTTAAATATTTGTATTTTTGTATGAAAATAAAAATATTTAAATAGACTATTGTTGTATGAAAATAAAATCTGATGAATTATTAAAAGTCATGAAACTAAAGTTGTTATTTATGATGTTAATAATATAATCCTGCGAGATTGTTAATATTTTCCAAATAACCCTTTACATTTGTATAATAAAATGTAAATTAAAAATAATATAATTATTTAATGTAAAATATCAAATAGAGCGGCGGTAGTGTACGATCTATGACCGACAATGCGCCCCATCAACACTTTAAGGGTGCTGGTGGGGCGCATGGAACTTGTCAACTTAAGCCTCAGGGTATCGGGCGCAGTGGCAATGCCCCTCAGATCTTTGCCATTTAAAGCTCTTGAGTGGCACTGCAACTGTTATGAACAGGCGTGTAGCTTAACATCAGGCGCACGACTCGTTCGTCTCGTCACTTGATGTTATAAAAAAAAATCAATTCACATTCTGCCATTGCGCATCGCGCAGTGTACTCAGTCAAATCAACAATCTATATACAATGCACCATAATTTGTAATGAAGCAAATAAATCTCCTTAATAGTAATCAAACTATCATTTTATAAGATTACGGAAACACCGTATATTATTTTGGTCCGTCGAGGGACCTATAGCACACCCCGGACATTCCATACAACGGTCGAAAATTATTTACCTACTGCTACTACATACAGCAAGGCGCTATCTGCACACGCGCAAATGCGTGCGTTAAGTGGCAGATTACGTTACGTGGTCAGAGCGGCAACATAGTGAAAATTCTAACGCGAATCTGTTATCTATAATTCTATTAATAGAATCCTAATTATTACACATATCTCTTAGGTATTTATATCGATATAATATTATATTTTTCATTAATTCACTAACTAGAGTAATATTGAAGATTTATTTCAAAAATATATTAAATGCACTTGAAATGTTATATTTTGGACGTATACTTTTAAATAAGGTAATCAAGGTATTTGAAATTGCATGTTCAAGCATCATTACCTTGTTAATAATTAGGTATATTCACTACCTACGTAATATTTATCGGCAATACGAATTGAAAATTCGAAAACTCTTGTCAACTAACTAGCGAAGTTATGGCATCTCATTATATTGATATAATAAATTTGTATTTTTAAACATATATTACTCTACACTAAATAAATGAAAAAAACAATAATTGAATGAGTTTACTTCGTTTCATCTTTCGGAAAATGACGATAAACAGCCGTACACAGCACAATTCACGACCATTATAAATAGTAACGTCAAATGATGTTATATATTAACGTACAAGTTTCGTAATGAAAACTATATTCAAATATCAATGCCATCTTCGCGCGAAAACGGCTCGCCGGCAGCCTTGTTGTCGTTCAGTCAATATTACCATCAATGTGCGGGGCGTGGTGCGGTATCTAAAGCTAGGGAGGGGCGGAGAGTGTCCGTTCTTGTTACTTTTTTGTTCTCTGCCTATAGACTTTTTTGCACACTGTTTCCATAATCTTACAAAATGATAGTTTGATTAGTGTTAAGGAGATTTATTTACTTGATTACTAATTATGGTACATTTTGATAGATAGATAATTTGAATGAGTACACTGCGCTATGGCTGAATGTGTACTGACTTAAATTACAACTATAAGGCGTAAAGTGCTGAAGGTGCGCATTATCGATCGTAGACCGTACAGGTAGCCCAGTGGAAGAACCGTTGATTCTCAATTGAAAGGTCAACGACTTGAATCCCATCGGCTGGGGAATTAACACGTTTTCCAAGAGTTGTGAAATGTCTTTGACGTACAGGTTTTATAACGATGTTTTTCTTCACCGTTAGCGAGTGGTATTCTATTAAAGCAAAGTTACTAAACCTGTGGTCCATGGACCTCTAAGGCGTCCGTGTAATTAACGCCGGGGGCCCACGGCGAGCCTACCTAACATTAATGTAACATTTGGTATATAATATGTTGTGAGCACATGGGTACTGTGCGCGTGACCTTTTTGAATTTTCGCACCCTTTGACGGCCATCCATTATTGCAATGAGCGAGACGCTCGTCAATGCATCACACGAGTCTTTCTTCTTCATCTTTTCGGAAGAGGTCCGTGGGCTCTTTGACATTTTGAGAGGGGTCCATGACAAGAAAAAGGTTAAGAAACCCTGTACTAAACATTCACAAATGCACGTTACAACGGATTGACAAGCATCCGATGTACCGCTGGCGCTGCCACGGAATAAACGCAGCTCTCTTCACTAAATAAACATTATTATATTATATTTTAGGCTATTTTAAGAAGCAAGGCTTCAGCAAGGATATAAAGCTGCCGCGCGCGATGTACCAGGGTTACATAAAAGACTACGAAGGCGCCACTCTAATGCACTGTGAACTCAACCCACGTATCGTCTACACTCAATTCACTGGCGTCATACGGAAACAGAAAGAAGTAAGCACTTCATTTAGTTACTCGGTAAAAAGACACTTTTTTAATTTGAACACAGTGCCGATGCGTAAGGGTGAACGAGATCAATCCTTGTTCATTTTTGTTACACTAATACATATTGCGATATCGTGACTTATACTTTGGTAACGTAATATAAATATATTCTTTATTACACCAAACAAATAAAAGTGAAATATGAAAATAAGAGTATCATGGTAGTAAAAAACACCATGCTATTCAATAAAAGAAATAATACTTTACCGAACGGTTACCAGACTGGACTGCCACGCAGAGGTCCAGAATTCCCGGGCCGGGAGAACTATTTGTATGGCCTACATTTATTTCTCTCGTGAGTTTGGGTGTAATTTGTGGTTGTCTACCTATGTGTGCGTCCATGGCACCCGCGATACAGGGTTTCCCTAATGCGGGGCTATGTTAAGTGTCTGCGTTATTATTATTATAAGTAACAGGTGACAGTGTTAATTACAAATCTCCACAAGTAGCAGTAATATAAGAAGTTATTTCAGATTTTGAAAATTAACTTACAGATCGTAAAGAAACTTATTGATATGCGACAAAAAGAAGTCCGGAAGATTCACCCAGGATTGACATGCTTCAAAGAGGGCGTAAGTATTTTAAGTATACGAGTATACAATTTTATTGGTTTTTTTTATAGTAATAAAGTGACATAGCTCTAATAAAATCAAAGTGCTTTTGGGACACGACACGACTTTTAGAAAAACAAAAAGTTTAGAGTATGGAACACTGGAGTCGCTATATGCATTATTATCTCAAACAAAACTTACTGCTATTTTTTGAGGGACGGAAAGGTACTACTACAAGTAAACAAGTGCACTCAAATACAATACTGCCCTCACATGGTATGAAAAAGAGCACAATTCACATTATTAATAAATTTGCCAAAGATGCACGCTATTTACACAAGACTTTACATTTATATAAGACATTCAGGGTCATTGACAACGATGCGAAACACTCAGCGTGTTTTTCGCACTTATTTCATGGACATAAAGCTTTTACTGACGGGCTGAGACCGATTCCGCGTTAGTAACTTTGGTGACTCGTGTCACATTAGGAGATGAACGATATCGATACCTCTTTATTTTTTGGTCTTTTTCTGTTTTTGTAAATAGCCATATTTATTTACTAAAAAATATTATTTATTAAAAAATAAGGAAACAATCTAAATTCCAAAAAAAGAATGGAAATTTGGAAAAATAAATAAACAAAAAACAATATAAAAACAGAACAGGTCCAAAAATTAAGTAGGCGTAGTGTTGATATGACCATGTGTGTGCCAGGTGCGAAGCATACCGACAGAGTGCATCCCCGGGCTGCGCGAGACGGGCTGGCGAGGTGCGCGCGCGCATTTAGAACCCGACCCGGAGCCTGACCTCGTCGTGCTGAGGAATATCTTGCACGCGGTAAATATTTACCAATATTTTTGTGTAAAAAAGTACATAGGGTCGTATTCCAGAACTCTACTCAATACTCGAGTCAGGACTTGAGTATTGCAGTAGAGCTCTGAAAATCATACTCAAGTCCTTGCCATTAGGGGCGTATTTCCAGTGCTTGAAATCATACTCAAGTCTGCTCAAGTCCTGACTTGAGCATTGATTAGAGTTCTGGAATACGACCCATTCAGTCTGTTTTTAGCACACAACATTTCAACGTATCGTAACCTTGATATAATCAAACCACATGTGATCATACGTCAAAAGAGCTTTTATTTCACGAAAGTTATAAAAATAATACGAACTTCATGAAACAAATTATGTATAATCGTCGTCTTAGAGTGAAAACCTCGTATGAGATTTCTGTCATTTTTCAGGACGAAGGTAAAAATGTGGTGTATAAAAAGTCGTTTGTAATTAGCATGGTAATTAGTTAAATTATACCTCTTTCAGATACTATATTTATTACTTTAATAATATATTTGAGTAAGAAGTTTTTAAGGTTTTCTTCAACCAAAATCAGTAAAAACGAACTATGTGAAAACGCGTATGCAAGGTTTTCATTCTAAGGCGACGATATGTGAAATTTTGCTCTCCCTGTTTAAACATAAGAAAGTTATCGACTACTTTTGTTCGTAGAATCTTAAAACCCCTTTCCTGAAAAATTTACATTTTGCAGATATTTATTTATATTGTGGCGGTCTCTAGATAAGGCCTACAGCAGTAGACGTTTTTCGGCTGAAATTTATATTCATGAATAGGAAACAGTGGGTCCGGTCGTGATTTTTTCTTTATATGTTCGTTGGCATCGAGTGACGTAATAAGCTAAACAAAAGGATTCGCATTACCCACTGTCTGGCAGTCAGCCGGCCTGCTATGCATAACTGTCGCAAGTGGTTGGAAGTGCAGTTCAAAATATATTTGTGACTAATGAACAGCCCCATACCATTCTACAATAAACTTAAATTAAATTAGACTGCTTCCGTAACCGAACGGTTCAGTTCCCAAATTCCTACGCGGCGTGGAGGAATTTCCAATTATTTTTGCAAATTTTCTTACCATTCTGTTCGTCCGATTTTTCATTCCTGTAAGTAGGGTGCTACTATTTTATTTACCAACCTATATGTTTTACAGGTGAAGAACCATGCCGCTGCCTGGCCGTTCCTCAAGCCGGTGGACAAATCCGAAGTACCTGATTACTACGATCACATCAAATATCCTATGGGTAAGTACAGTCAAACTGACAATTCACTTCACATTTTCTATTCTGCCCTCTTTATCATAACTAACGTAATGGACATTTTTAGAGAAATTGAATTTAATACTTTTTTGTGCGAGTAAATGAAAATAATGAAACACAATCAATATTTAAAAATTATTTGTTAAGACTCCACGACAACAAACTCAACACAACATAATAACAAGTGTCCACGATTGACCAAACTCCGTTTATATTTAACCAATCAGGAGGCAGTAGAGCGTTTGAGTAGCGTCATATTTTATATTGTTTTAAACACTTTTTTGCCAAACTGTACGTAACATTTTTAGATATTATTTAATAAAACAATTTTAATTTCAATAATTTCCAAGATGTTTTTTTTCCACAGATCTGCGCACTATGGGCGAGCGTCTGAAGGCGCGGTACTATTCGTCCAAGCGTCTCTTCATTGCGGACATGACGCGCATCTTCACCAACTGCAGACTCTACAACTCGCCTGATACAGACTATTATAGGTCATTGTCATACTATTACTTACAGTTCTAAACTTGTATAAAGTTTCGTCATTTAAAAAAACCGATCACACGTCACAACACATCGCGATGGTTTATAGTAAACGATCTCAGTACCCAGAGCAACCAAATTAACCTCTGGCTTCTAACATAGTATAATAAGCTAAGTAGTGTAACTCCATACAAAGTAGCAGCGCGACCATGTACGGACGCGTGCATAATCTCGCGTTGCATAGCGCGTGACGTCACACGAACCGTTCATTATAGAATTTAAAGCGTCCGCTCGGTATTCAAAAATGATATGTAATAGTAGACGAGTTTATTGTTGTTTATCGTTGTTTGATTGATTAAAGGCTCTCTTGTGAGTGTAAATTGTTCAGCATTTCATTATTATTTCATAATCATATTCCAATTAACCGTGATACCATTCCGCGATGCTGCTGTAAAAATATCAAAACGTAGTACGCCGCATTTAACAAATGTTATTTCAACATAACACGAGAACACTGAACGCGTTATTTTTTTCAAAATATCTTTACAACCTATAGACACAAATAAAATAATAACGTGACAACCCTACACTCAGAGTGACGTGTAGGTTTTGGTGAAACTACAGGCATATAGGACTTGTCAACTTACATCTCGGGTACTTACGGGTGACAGGCGCAGTAGCAGTGTCCCTCAGATCTTTGCGATTTATAGCTCTGAGTGGCACTGCAACTGTTATGGACAGAAGTGACGCTTAATACCAGGCGGACGGCTTGTTCGTCCCGTCACTTGCTATCATAAAAAAGACATTGACGCGCCGAACAGACGGGAGCTGCACTACTTGTCTTATTACAAAGAAAGAAACGTTTATTCAGCTTATTAAGACTTATACAGAACAAAAAAAAACAAATTAATGATATGTTATTAATAAAGTTATTATAGTATGGTTCTAGGCCAGAACACGATGACCTGAAGCAATTTAGAAAATGTCGTGTCCCAAAATTGACTCCACAGGATATCGAACGCGGGATCTCCTCATCTAGCACCCACAGTGCTAACCACTGAATTGAACACGCATGCAATTGCGTAAACAACCTATGTAATTAAAAGTATTTTCTTACAGATGCGCGAACACTCTAGAAAAGTATTTCCATACAAAGATGAAAGAGGTGGGTCTATGGGACAAATGATTACAGCCTGTACCCCCGTCGCCGTTCAGCTTCGACGCGTTCTTCGCCACGGAGATCGCCGCCGCTGCCGGCTACCAGGTCGATTAGACTTTTCGTTTGTAGTGGCGTCATTACCTAACTGCCCTAGGAGGGTAATGTTTTTCTTGATAGTGTTGTGGGACATAATTGAATTATCATCCAGCACACATTATTTTCGCGTGGTATGTAACGAGAATGTTGACATTTCTATCAACCGAATTTTTTTTAAGAAATTGAACGAATTTCCTTAGAAATCGCGGTGTGTGAAGCACGTTAAAGCCCTCATATATAGATGATTTCTCGTTTCGACGATCGTCACGATAATTATGTCGACCCGTCGCTAATGCCTTGGCGTTATCATCGTTAACGACTTACACATAGTACACCAGCGATTCGTCATCGTTTCGATAGTCTGAAACGACGGATCGTGAAGACTAATAGTCCTGTATATGGGCGCTGTAGCGTGATTCCAAAACCAGACTCGCAGGATCACGGAGAATCAAATCGATCAAAATTTTATTTAATCAAGAACAGAATTCAGTGCCATTATCGTTAGTTTACAGTGAAAGTTGTCCCCAGCGACCTTGTAAAGTACTTCACAGTTTTGTATGGCAATTTTTATAACGTCTCTTGCGGTCACAACAAATAATAACATATTGCAATTTTTTCATGCGTTTTCGACGACAACTGTCAGCGTAAACTCGTGGTAGGTACCCAGCATCTCTCTGTTGCCGCTTTAATGCATTCTCAAGTGGCTAATGATCTCAGTGTTAAGATCGTGAAATTACAAAAGCGGCCAACTTTCCGACTTGTGCGTTGTTCCCCGATTTAAATTTAGCACATTTATTTTCTCTCGATTCGAAAAAACTAATGATAATATCAGCGATGTGGATGAAAATGTGATGCTATATTTATGTCCAAGCTAGCCATGGTAACCCGAAATAATATATATAATACTTCGCATAAACTTGCAACGAAATGAACCTTATAACGAAAGTCATACTCATAAGATAAAAGATTAATGTTTCATATGGAATGGAAATACAGTTTTAGCGATAATTAGCTACTTTAAACCTTTTATCTAGCAACATTTGCTTGACTCTAGTTGGCAAAAGTTTTCCCTTTAGTCTAGTTTTCCCGTCAGTTCTTAATAAACTAACTACACGGTATCAAACTTTGAACTTTGGCTCTTCCTAATTACAAGTGAGCATCGAGTATATAACCAGAAATAGAGACGAAATAAGGGCCCTCCATTCCTGGCGACTCATCAGGCAAATGGGCCTGTCAACCCTCGTTTGCGCTGAAATCACAAATTAGAAAGCTGAATAGTGCAACAACTGACCTGTGTGTACGTCTCAGTATATTCCATGAATATTCTGTATTTATTGTAATAAAGACTAACAATGGAGGCTGTTCCATTCGCTGTTGTGGGAAAAAATAGCAAAACATCTAATTACAAAACAAACGGAATGACATTTCATCGATAATTAAATATGTAATTTTTCAATTTTCGTCCATTCTAGCAAAGCTCAAGTTAAACTGGACGATCAGAAGTGAAACAATTGATGACACCCGTCAATTGCTTCAGTTTCGGGCTGGCCAATCGCAGTTGTCACCGTAATGATTTGGCATAATAGTTTTCAAACAATATAATGACATTTCGTCTCTATTTCTGGTTATATACTCGATGCAAGTGAGTGACATTGTGTTCAATTTCAATCTTAAGTATTAAGTCCAGCATGCCGTTTTATTTTATGTAAAATAGACAATCTCGCCTAATATTAAGCAAAGAGATGACCAACGATCTTATCTATTCGCTAGCCTTGAATAGCCCCAAAATTGTCTTTGCTGTGCTTATGAAAGTTTTTTATAGCTTTCTGGCAGATATATCGCTCAGCTACGTTATACTTATGACTTAAACATCCTACTGCTGGCCACGGGACCCCTATATAGGGTTGTGCGATACAAGCGTTAGGGTGCGCACAAATCTGGTGAATGTGCTGCGTGCACGCTGCACGCGTGCAATTAATTGCGGCTCTGTAATCACATCGCATGCAAGAATCGCATTATGGCGCGCGAGCGGCATGCGAACAGGTTTGTACGTACCCTAAGCAATTTATATATTTAGCAATTCTACTTTAGGTTAGCTAACACGTTAGAAAATAAGTTCATCAAAACAACATGTTACATAAAATGAATGTTTTCAAGACTGAATGACTTCTTTGGTATGCTCATTTTAATTTCATTTTTTGAATGAAACAAACTTTTACATGGAAAGGTGTGGTATGTTACATTTTTAATATTCATAGGAATATAGTAAAAATATGATTGTGATTTTTGTTTTAATATGTTAATATAGTTCAAAATCTTTTAAGTAGGTAGTAATAGTGAGAATAATTTTACTTATTCATACCTAAAGATTATATTGGGATTTGTTTAAGTTGTAATGAGATAGGTTTTGTTAATACATTAAATTATTGACTATTTCACTACTAGGTCTTCACCATAGATTTAGTATATGGTCTTCACAGTAATTTAATCCAAATTCTAAAGTCTTTTGAGTTTTAACGGAAACGAATGGATATAACTATTGTGGCGAAACTTTAACCTGGTAAAGCGCTTCAAATTTTAACCTTGTATCTAAAGAATGTATTTTTTGAAGATCGAGTAAAATGACATTTGAAGGGTTGCCAGTTTCCATAAAGTTGTTGTCGATAGTTTTGTCGATAGACTGTGAAAGAAGATAAACATTTACCAAAAATTATTGAATTGGGAATGTTACGACGTTCCAATGATTACTAATATGTTATTGCATTCTTTATTCTTATTTTGACAGTTGGTCTACTAGTATCGAGATAATTTTTTTTTTCATATACATTTTAACAAGAATAGCCGGATTTGATTATCTGTATTGAATTTAAATGAAAATCATTAAAATGTGTCTCCTCTTTGTATTGTTCATAAACATAGTTCTAAATACCGCGTAGGTATGTATGAACTTGCAAAAATTTACAATTCAAACGAACTTGTGCTCAGTAATTGGATGAATAATTTGTCGAGGATGATTCAAATGAAACAAGTTCGTAATTATTCCATAAGCGTGACCAATATTCAGTCGATAGTCGATAGAATATTTATCGACTGCAATCACTAGCTGCTCGCAAGTGAGCAATACTTTTTCGCAAAGAACTGTTATTTTACTCTGTCTTCAAAAAAGACACACAATACTAAGGTACAAAACTTTATATAATATCAGATTTATATAACATGAAAAAGCAACAGGTTAGAATGTAATCGTCAACTTCCTCAAAACTCAAATAACTTCGACACTTTGACTTAAAATAGCACTGTAATTAAGTTCGACTATTATGTATAAGTATTTTATCTAGTGTAACTTAATTATTAGTGTAGTTCACGAGACTAGAAACTAGCGTGCGTTAGGGTGAAACCCCACTTATCAGCTGACAACAGCATAAGGTGAAAGATAGTCCACTCGTTGTTGCCATTGAATCCAACGTTTTGTCAAAAGTTTTGGCTATAACTTGAACGGCAGCACTGAGCTGGAAATATAGAATATTAATCCTAACCTTTTGGCTGTCTTTCCCAATAGGCAGTTTAAATGAGCTGATTCTCAAACGCGTTACAACACGTATCACATACGACAATAGACGTAGCACCCAAACAGAGTGAGGACTGTTATAGGTAGTTAATAAGAAAGATTGTATACGTTTTATTGTATTAGGTAATTAATAATTAAAGAATTTCGCATAAAGCTTCTTAAATAGTTCTCATTGTAATGTATATAGTTGCATTGTGTACATGTGTACTTTTTAAAATAATTATAGACAAAATGTTTTATAGTACAGTTTTTTATTTAATTTAGTTGATAATTGACGAATCGATTAATGCAATAAACCCCATGTAATTAGGGTTTTTAGGGTCAATTTCCACTGGTAACGTGGTGGCGCAAATAAAATATAATAGAGCTGAAGAGAATATACTTTTTGCTTGTATTGGAAACTAAATATTGTTAAAAAGCTTTAAGTATTTAAAAAACCACATGTGTTTAACAAAGGCGTGTGTTACGTAAATAATAAATATGTATGTGGCTCCGAGACTAACACAGGTATAACCTTCAAATAGTAAATCTGTTATATATTCTAAACAAAAATTTATTCACGCTTAATTCACGACATTTTCTAGGTGTAATCTGACCTTAGCTAGAAGCTGTGGTCCTCAAGATTGAGGAATGGTGCCGCTGACTTGTCTATTGCTTATTCCAGGGTGGACAGCAAAACACTCTATGACTTGAACGGCTGACCGACTAAATCTAGTTTTTATCGACTAGAACCGTGTAAATGACGTACATGAATAGCCAAATTCTAAAAACTCTAGTATAGTCACGCTGATATGTAAACGGAGTTTTAAAAAAGCTCAGATTTCATAACATCGAGCAAGTGGTTCTAGCGCTCTGAAATGAAATTGTTGATTTCAATGTTGAATATACTACAGAATTGTCACTGTTATGCGCCACGTCGCACTATGGGAACCTTGACTCCTTTTCATATCATAAATCTATAACTTCCGTGTTTTTGATGATATCTACCTGATTTTTTTTCTGGGTATACCTAAATAGATATTCTCTTAAATAATATACACTTTATAAGTCAAATTTTATTTATTATAGTTATAAAAAATTAAGGAATAAAAAAGTATTAATTTCTTAGATTTAACCATGCATGTTCTTATAAATTTATAGATTAATAAGATGAAGTACCTACTTTAAATATCAAGAATACATAAAAACATAGCTTAATAGTCACTCAGGAGCTCTTTTGCTTCATCAAGAAGTTCCAAATATTTATTGTTGCAAGGTTTTCTCAAGCTTGTAATGTATGGATCAGAGGTATACAAAAGTGTGTGTATAACGTCTTCGTTGGTGGCTGCCCTCGAACATTTTCTTACATGATGAAGTCTGAACTGCTTGTAGTCTTTGTTTCGTGACTCTTGAGCATCTTCAGAGAGTTGTCTAAGAGGCAAGACAGAAAAATGACGTATGACACTCTCACCATGAATCAACACTTTGTGCACTGATGACGGCATGTAACACCATTTATATTTATTAACATACAGCTGTGCTGTATCGAATGCATACTGTCCAAATTTCGTGGCATCAATACCTCTACCACTTGACATGACCTGAAGTATAATATAAAACCGTTTTATTAATTCCTCATTTATTCCAGTGATTTCTGATGAACAATGGTAGTTTTGGAAAAATCTTCTGGCTGTATTACCGTCATTAGTGTTGCCACTTACTTGTTTAGGTTTATCTATATTCAATCCAAGTTCTTCTCTGAACCTTCTTTGTAGGTAAGCTTTCTTTTGCTTTTTTAAATCTTTATTCTCTGTTGTTGTGGCAGACCATTTTTCAAAACCTAGATTGTAAGATAAATGTAAAATAAGTTCCATAAATCTAATCCAACAATGCAAAGTTGAAAGCCCATATTGATAAGAAGCTTCATCCACAGGTTTGTTTCGCACTCTTTCTAAATTATTCATTTCTGTAGGTCTTGCACTGCAAATAGTGCACACAGCACTTGAGGAAGTTTCTGACAAAACTTGGGCCTGTTTCCCATCAATCATAGTTAAAAACAACGTGTGTTTTATTTCAATACCTGCTCCATTGTGATTAATTAGGGAAGGATTCAGGGCTAAAATTTGAGCATTAATTTCGCTGACTACCAGTGTCGTTTTCTCAGCTGTTTCTTTTGAAAATTCTATCAAAATTGATCGGCAAAATCTCACTGACGAAGGAACAGGATTATTCCACAATACTTCATTAGTATTGGTATCAATAAGTCGCAATGGCACTAAAGATGATATAAATAAAGTAGAGTCTGAAATTAGATCACTCTCTTCAGACAGGGGTAGTTTGTATTCGCTTTGTCCACTTGATCCATCACAGCCCCATTTGGAATATAGCATTAAGTGGGTTGAACCCACTTTATAAACATCATTAATTTTTAGAAGTCTGGCTGAAGTGTGATCTAAAAGATCTTGTAGTTTTATTTGTGCTTTTATGTTAGTAATTTCAACGCTAGATTCTGGTGGATAGCACATTCGCTTAGCTTCAGGAATCGACTTGTAAGAAGGAAACAATAAGCAATTTTTTGTAATTAAACAATTTCTCATATTGTCATACTGTGCCTTGTTCAGATTTAATTCTATAAAAATGCTGAGTGC